CGGAGTTAATCAGGTGAATGGTAATAATCCATCACTTACGCTGTTATGCGAGCTTGCTGTCATATATCTGCGGAACGCGCAATTAGCTATTTAACAGTAACGATATATGAACGATATTTGCGGATAGCAGTGGTCAAATCTGCACCGAGTAATACGATATTCACTGCATTACTTCAAAATGTATCAATGCGTCAACAGCCTTTGATTATGAGTTTGTACTTTGCAATTGTATATTAGCTCTGCAGCGGAATTGAATCTATATAACTTTCTCTAGGATGCAAATATTTATATACTATTACAAATAATACGTCATTTCATTTTGATTTATTGTTTCTATTCGTAGAATCTTAAATTTATTGTGTTGATTCACAAAGTTTTCAATGTGCTAATTTTTTGGGATTCAGTAATTAATGCACAATAGAATTAAAAAGTTTCTCAAGCGCAACGCAATGAAATATATTTATTTCAGTGAAATCAATTTCGGTGCAGCAACAGCTTCATCCAAACTTAAGCATAGTCATAGACGGTTAAAGTCGGCGATCGATTGGCGCGCAGTGGCGTATCAATCTCTTTTGCTATTAAAGCCCGTAAAGCTTCATTACAGCTTCAGTGACCTGGATTGGTAGACAGCGCGATTGCAATTGAACATGCACCAGCAAGTGATTAACTAACGTGTCGGTTCCACGGGATGTCGTCAACTCCGGCCAACCTGACGATATTTGCAATTTATTTCCGGCCAGACTTTGATGAGGTGTTTAATTGTACGATTCGCCGTCCGCTGTAACCCGCGAATACGCGTCAAGGAGTGAACTATCAAAGTTAGAACGGTGTACCGCTGCGAGGTAGCTTAGCGAGAGACCTTTGACATGCCGGCGCGTAGCTGGCTCATTACATTCCTGTATCGGGGAGCAACCTACCGTGTCACAGGTTCCATTACTGGAACAGTTTAGATCACGCAGTCTCACTGACATTCGCAAAGCAGTCCCCGCAAGGGCTGATCCATTGACAAGCCCGTCTACGAGACCGGCTTCGTGACCGATATTGACAAGACCGCGATTTCACATAATAAACGCGCGCGACAAACATCGTCGAGAGAAATTATAATTTAAAGTTTCCAAATTATTCAATAGCAATTAATACCAAATATGTTGTCGTTTATAAGAAAAACATTTGTTATGCTCGCTGCAAAAATAGCATTTTTAATATTGTAAAATTTTATCTATTTTAACTTTGCGAAATGACATTACATTAAATTATTAATATGTCGCTTAAATTACTTTGCCGAGTTCCGATCAATGATTGTTGTGATATTTTTAGACTTCTTCGTGGAAAAATTTGTTAATTGCAAGCTCATGCGAATTGCTTGAGTTTCGACACTTGACGCCGACGAGTTTGTATGACGTTTAATATAAATGGAAAACCAGAGAAGTTTGCTCTCGATGCGCCATTGCGATGCATAATTCATAATGATGGTAAACGGCTGATGTCGACATTTCTTCTTGAATAAACTTAATCGTAAGATTTAGTCGAATGCAATTTTCAATAAATAGATGTCATATCTTAAATATTACGAAGAGTTAATTAGAACGACATTAATTTACTAATTAATCTTTAGTCATATATGATATTGTTACATTTTCTAAATAGAATCACACATGTGTTATTGCCAGCTAAAGCTAGAAGTGCCTATTTGTTATCGAAAGAAATACATTTGACGCTGTAGAATAATGCAGTTTTGGCGAACGCACAATGCGGAATTTTCGCTCATCATTTAATTCGTTACAGAAATATCTCGATAGTGATATTTTAAACGTCAAGCGCACGCAGATATATTTAAACCATTGTTTCAACCAACTATTGATTAGTAATAGCTTCCATGGGGAAAGAGGGCAGTTAACTCGTCTCTAGAGCTCTCATTTGTTCGCACGAAAAACCAATTTTGCGAATCGATTTTTTGTGCCAAACACACAATCGTTTATTCGACAATTTTTGATCGTAGCACGACAATTTGTTCGGCTGCATTATACACTTTGTAAATAATTTTTTGTTATTCTGTCTCACGTTTATGGCTGTCAACATACTCTACTTTGAAAAAAGTTTCCAACATATTTAATATTTTTGAATATTGTCGCTCAATATCATTGCATTTTTCGTAGATAATGCGCGAAATTAATTTTTTATTGCAAAAATAAGACAATGTGATAATGGAATGAATGATATAGATTCTATTCTTGCCAGACACTTCCGCGATTTTATGTTCGCAAGATTTTCGACGATATGACGATATCGTTTATTGAACGGAGTCCGGCGAAATGCGGAATGGAATGCTGACGTGGTGCTTGCAAGCTGTTTTTTCGAGGCTAGTGCATTTCGCTGTATTTCATTCAGACGTTAACGATTCCCAACGAAAACAAGATACTAGCATTGCGACAAAACAATCTTTAATTTTCTTAACTAGTAAAGCTGTTTTTTGCAGAACACGTTGGGCAATGTTTTACGTTTCAAAGAATAAAATTAATTATGTTGTTGAACATTGTTGTAATTTATACAAAATTATTCGCTAAATGAAAAAGCAATACAATCACTTTTAAGTAATCAAAGACTTATTAATTTTATTAGTTTGATGATTGAATTTAATAATCTAATGTAAATTCTATTTTGTATATCAGTAGATAAAAAAAAGTACAAAACATTTTGTGGAAAGAAGTATTTTGCATTAAATGCTGAATGGTATACATGTGAAAACGTCATTAAATTTGCATATTTTTTATCATACGCATTTTAGTTGCAGACAATTTCTCCGACGTAAAAACAAAAAAGTTATGAATTTAATCCGATCAGTAAAGTTGATTAATAACGAGACTGTTTAATGGCGACTACTTTTTTTTGTCACACAGTATATTATCTTTTAATGATCAAACGTAATTAACTACTATTACAATCACATGACAAATTAATTATATAACAAATAATAAATAATAAATTAATGTAAATGATCAGTGATATTGAATCAACACTTGCAAATCGATTCCCTTATGTACAGTCTCTCAATTATCTCGTCATTAATTGAGTAATATTTAAAGCAAAATCACGCATATGTTTTTGGCGAATCATCTTAGAAAGAGGTGACGTTGCTGCTTGCAATGTTGCACATAATTTACCATCATTACGGTGCCGGTTTAATGGCGTAAAATATGACTGCGAATTACCACGGAGAATTAAGACGAGGACGGGAAATTAAGGCAACGCCCGCGTAACCAACTGGTACTCTCGTTAATTGGTAAATACGTTACCAGAAATATACGACACAAGAGTAAATTGAATTTGTAGATTATTGTATGTAGTTCACAAATGCAGATACTTTATAGGGATTCAATAGAAAAAAGACAATTAAAAAAAGTAACGTTGGATACAGAGGTTGGATAAATATAGCAATAATTCATTGAGTAACAATCTTAGAATCATTCAACACCGAATAAAATAATTTATTAATTGTAATTTTCATGTGACATTTGAACAATTTCAATAAGAGTAAAATGTAAAATATCTTATAAGTATGCGAATACTCACCGTTAAATTCTGTTCAATCACATATCGCTTGTCGATGCTGGCGACGGCCTTGTGTGTATGCTCTCGTAGATTAATTAATCACGTACTCGTTATGTATATACATTTCCACTGAATTCCGCTAATATTTTATCAATTAGTATCTGTCCGGCACGATCCATTATGCGCTTTTAATGATCCTTTTGCTTCTCTCGAAGTTGTTCACCACGAGCTCGTATAATGCTTTCAATCGTGAATAGCACGTTCTCACTCAGTTCCAGCCTTGCTTAATTATATTGGGATTAATCGCATTACGGTTCGCATTGGTTTTAAAATACTTGTTTTAATTTCCTCATTAGCCTTAATAAAATTTTTACCATAATTTAATATTTATTTTTCATTACGGGGTTTATTTCGTAAAATTGATTTACGTTCTGTGTTATGTTTTTGCATATTTTATTCGTAAAATTTTCCTTTTATGTACCAAAGATTATTTAAGCGCGTTCATTAATTAAACTTTATTTTTTAGCGGCGCGTTTGTTTTCAGGTAACAATTGAATATTATTTTGCAAATTAATGTGAATTGGACTAAGGTGGGCGGACATATTTAATTGTCTCTCCTCGTTTGTTCCAATATTACGAAGATCGGAATGCTGATAGTTGAAGGCGAACAAGCGACGAACTTTCACCCATGCTAAGTTCTCACGTTTATAATTGCCGTAAGAGCTTCCGATCATTATTATTATCCCCACGGAATCGAGTTCTAAACGCAATTTGGCCGGCAACTCCCATTGAAACTCCAACTATAAGATACGGTGCGAGGAGAAGACCATTGAGTCGACAAAATTTCGGCGCGTATCAAAGAAAAACTAGATGCGTCATTTCACTAGAACATTTTATTGACTAACACGTGTGTGACATTTTTATAAATACTATAATATTGGAATTTGTATAAAACAGTCTTGTTTTCTTACTTTTAATTAATATTAAAATTACGTAAAATCGTGAAAAATCGCAACTAAGAGGCACTCTGTGGAAAGAAACAAAAGTTCACAAACGAAAATGCAACATTTCAAATTTAATCAATAACTATTGCCAAACTTTTTAATCATTATTATCGAACATCGCAAATCGAGTTTCTAACGCAATTTAAGTGGGAAGTTGCACGAGAACTTGGCGAACGGAAAACGAAGGAGAATAGGGTTGGTGAAAGACTCACAGGCACGAGAGAGAAGGACGGAGTGAGGAAGAGATGCGTCATATCTTAAATTTACTTCGAGCACCTCGCCGCTGTTTTCCGATAATGGCGAACGCGCAACCGGACGCCGCCACGCCGGCGTTCCTTTAGCGCGGTTCGCGACCGGGCAGAGTGTCGGAAATTATGTTTGCATAATTTTCAATCTCGCGGTAGAGCCCTCCGGCGTGTCGGCGACGATCCGCCAAGTCAGACGTACCAGAGTATCGCAGTGATCCGCGCGATTATCGCGAATAATTGATAACCGGCCACTTTTTCATCGATCAATAACAAGCGGCAATCGATGCAACAGAGTCCATTTGCACAAGTGACGCGTATTTAATCCGACTAATTGTCACTCACGTCTAACACATTTCCTCGTCACGGGAACGACAACCGATTCGCGCGATTATTTGCCCGTCCTCACGACTACTCCGTATTATACCTTCTGGAGCTTTGCATGAATGGGCTTTGATTTCGTCGGAACTTGTCGCGCACAGAGGGGCAGGCAGTCCCGATCGCCCGCGACGGCGACACAACGAGCAGAAGTCGACGTGCCCTCGCTGCTCGCACTGCGCGCCCTCGATCCCACCACCCCTTAAGCACGGACCGGGGGAGCGAAGGGCATCGCGCCGCGAATTGCACTGACACTCGCAGATTCTCCGTTTCCCGCAGAAGCTTCCAAACGGCCCCTCTCCCTACCCGAGTGCGAGCTCTTACCCTCCGCCAACCCCCGCGCGGGCCGTGGCTTTTAGCGCAAGCGCTTGTGCTTTTCCGCGGACTGCGTCCTATCCTAATTCACAGCGTCGTAAGTACGGTCTTGTCCAACTCGCGCGGGACGTCAAAAATTTCTCCCTTTGTCGCGTCGTCTAGTTCTTCAATGAATCAAGAACGACGGAAATCCCTTATTTTTTTCATGTATAACGATTGCTTCTCTAGACGATCGAATTGTAAATTATCTTCTGGAAGTGGTACAAAGATAACGCGACTTCTGATGAATGTAAGATCTCCGCATTACCTGTCTAAATAAGAAATAACTGATTCTTTTTGTGATAATTTTTTTTATATTTTACACACAGTTTTACATTCGCTACAAAAAATTGATTATATCGAAAACAGATTTAAGATAATATTTAATTAATATTTTTTTTAACGCAAATGGAGAAGTTCTAATCTGCAATTTGTATTTTCATACGTCAAATCAATAATGATTTAATGATTTCTCAACAAAGATTGTTTAATTTATTTTACCAAAAAAAAATAGAATATGCATATTTATTTTGTATTTCGTTTAATCTAGCATTTAACATGCAAAAACGTAAAACTTCAAAGATCTTATCCAATATTTACTGGCTTATACGGTGACTGAATTATGTACACAGTGATTGATCAAATCAGAGGCATACATCGAACTGTAATTGATAATATCGCTAAAGTAAATTAACACGAACGACTGCGGACCGTCCGTTTATCCGACACAATTTCACAGCAGCTGAACGCATATTGACCGCTGAAATATTTACGAGAATTTACAGCTTGCTAATACGCGATGAAAATAACGGGACAATGGTTTCTCTAATTTTTTATTCATTACCAAGTGACAAGTTCCGTTTGCTCTAAATACTTTTCTTTACAAAGATAAATGTATACAACTTGGCACATCTTGTCATATTCATATTTTATATAAAGCCATTGATTTTTTTCTAAAATATAAAATAATATTTCGAAGTGATCAATTTTAATAATAGTATAAAAAATATTAAATATTCAAATATATTTCAAAAAGCTTAGCTGCAGAAATATTAAAGAGTATATATTGAACATTTTTGATATGCGAGTTTGATGAAACGAATGAAATGAGGAAAAGTCGTAGATAATTGGCTGCACGTGACATGGAAAATCAGTTCGGGATAAGGCTGACAAATTGAGCGTGGCTGCGGCCGCGAGTCTGTAGTAAACAGGTATTCTAATAAAGTGCCTCGAGGGTGATTCTCTCTCGCGCGTAGCACTGCTGAATTTTTCATTCATCGAGACGGCGGACGCTGATCAAAACTCCGACGCGCTGCGTGCACGCCGTCGCGTCGGAGGAGGCAACAGTTTGAGAATTAAGATTACCCTGGGGAGCGTGCGCTTGTCATATTTCGACGAGGGATGGTTTGCTCGCTTCGGTGCGCGCGCGCGATGCGGAGCATCTCCGGCGGCTTTGCTATATCTTTCATTAGCCTCGTTTTCCTCTGGTGGCTTTCTTTCTCTCTCCGCGCCGACGGCTAATAAAGCCGCTGTAAACTGCCTGACGCGTGGTTGAATTGCCCAAGTTTTAATTTCCTCGGGAACCGGCGCGCTCCCAAACAATCGTCGAAGTTATCGCGAATGAATGTGTTGCGAGTTGTTGGCCGAAGGATAAATTGCCGGCCGGTCATCCGAGTAATAGTCGAAGCGGTTAAAGCTGTCGCGCGCGTGCTGGATATGTAACGCGTTAGATTTCCATAAATATGATACGATAGAGTGAATTTCCGCCGGGATTTGCTGAGAATCTACTCGCGTCCGGCGAGCTTTAATTTCCCGCTTTGTCAACTGTGTATTGGGATAATCGACAAACTTATCGCGAATAAACGCAGCGCCAGTTGTTAGCAGAAGCGTGAATTCCCCGGCATCGGCATGGTTGTTGAACTGATCCCGTGACAATTGCGACCTTTGACTTTTGTAGAATAATATGTATAATATGAAACGTGGACAGCAAGTATGTGCATTATCAAACAGCGAAACTGTTTTCAGTTCTATCAATACATTTCAGTGTATTAATTACAAAACGCGTTGGATTAAATATGATACCTGTAAAAGCTAAAAGATTTAAAATGAGAAAATTGATATTTTACTTTTGATATTTAATAATTAGACAAATGTTATTAACCTGGAAATTTAAAGTATATTGAATTATTCATTTGTGATATATTTTTAAAGAATTATTACCATGAGTACATAAAGTGTTCCAGATTTCGCAGAAATAAAATTGAAATTTTAATATTTGTCTACAACATAAGCTCGTAATATCTCAATTTCGGTAGAACATTGTACATTTCTGTCGTATAAAATATGTTTCTTGATGCGAAGCGAAGTGCTGCATGGTCGACATTACTGCCAAATCAACAGAAAGGTCGACGACCAGCGTGCTCGTAGTTTCACGAATTCCATCAGTCTCGTGGAGACACGATGCCAGCGAGGCAATCACAGCCACGTCGTGCTTCTCCCTCTCGGCAATAACGAGGCAGTAGTTCGCGACACATTCGCTCCCAGTAAGTTCGACGATTGCGCCAAAACGAGCGAGCTCTTGACGAAATTAAAACTTGTGCAAGTTGGCGAGACGCGGGTAGCGCTTGACCAGTTTATCGAACGTGTCCGTGGTTGTTTGGGGGAGAAAAAAGCGTTTTCCAAGAGCTCAGACTAATGAGAGATTCCTAATTGTCGTTAGGTATCGTTAATTACGTCTGTCTTCCTCCTGGTAAATTGTCTTCTCCGATAATCGATGTTTTAGAGCAACACTTGCCTCTAATATTATACATTCCCAGTAAACACAAGTAACAGTAACACAATATTAATGTTATAATTTCCCACGCAACAATATAACTGTTACGTACAAGGCATGTTATATTGCAGTTATATTGTTGAATGGGAAATTACAACATTTACATTATGTTACTGTTAGTTTGTGTTTACTGAGGTTTGTTATTGCATATTTTTTAATATAATTTGCACTTATAATAAATAATTAGTTTGTATAATTTTTTTTGTAAATACTCTACAATACTCTATAATTAAAATGTATGTTAATTACATTTTGATTATATATGGCGAATGGCTTAGAATTCAAGATTAGAACTGAACTAGCGTCTTCTTCGCGCATCTAGCTACACAGTCGGTGTTATTATCTATGCTTGCATCGTGACGTCATTGTTGGGAGAACCATTACGTGTCTTGATGGAATTCATGAAACTTCGTGGCAGCGCTCGCCAAAAGTACCGGGATGCACTCCACAACAGTCCGTAACAAATGGAACGATCTGCATGTAATGGAACTGTGTTTAGTAGTTGTGTGCTAACGTGTGGTTTAATGTGGCGACCTTCTCTGTATCTAACTGTGTGTTATACAGAATCCCCTGGACCGAGGATCACCGCCCTCAACGTAATGAGTGTCCAGTTTCGTGACTAAACGATCGCTCCTAATTTAAGAATCAAAATATGCAAGAAGCAAGGTTGAATTGCGGAAAATTTACGCTCGTGCGATAAACTCTGAAACGATGATTTGCGCAAAGGATTTCTATCGGAATTTTATTCGATTGTTTGGCGATTTTCCCTGTGACGCCTGCTCTTTGCAAGTTGGTCGCACCGCTCCGACGATTAAGCCGCTAAAGTGTGAAGCTACGAAAGTAGGACGGCGATATGGAGCGTGGTTGCATTCGGCTGAATAATTCAGGTCACGAAGAAGGCGGTGACTTATTTACACGGCGCTCATACGGGAGCTCCAATTAATGTGCGGCATTAGTAAATTGATATGTTTTCCGTACGTAGCTTAACCGAATGCGCAAAGTGCGACGACATCGTATCCGCGAATCTGCAGACTGAAACCGTGCCAGTTGGATGAACTTACGAAATGCGAAATGAATTCGTGATCAAGCGTGTCTTACACAGAATCTCATTGTCGAAACTAAGTTTGTTGTGCTATTTCATGGATTGAAGACTCTGCGTTCAGTGAACTAGCGTAAATCTTGATGCAAGCATTCTACTGTTGTCGAAATAACGCAAGTACATTCGTGATATTTTTCAAATATTGATTTAAAGCTACCACTACGTTTTATTTTTGTTTGAAAGAGATACGTGGAGAATACTCGCTCGAACTTGGGACACGGCAATTTTTCGAACAATTTTGTAACAATTCCTTCGGATCAAGGATGTAATTATGCGTCTCTTTGTGACTAACATAGGAATTTCATTTCTTTTGATCCAGCTCGACTCGTGGTTTCGCCATTGATTCTCTATGGATTGTATTTCTCTTGTGGAAGAAGGGAAGAAAAGCCTGTATGAGTTTCGTCCAATCTCGTCGTTTGAGAAACAATTACTCTTTGACCATTCACTCGATGACTGATAAACTGTTCTCTGTAGTCGTGGTTCACGTTTTTATTCTTCCGTTCACTTGCATTCAGCAGGACGTAATTTAATAATAGACGGGTGCGAATGTTCGAATAAAATGGAAATAAAGAATTTTACTTTTCTATTTTTAAAAAAGACGTGCGAGATAAATCGAATCTTTTCCGCGGACGTCGAGTTTTTATCTATCTTTAAATTGGATTATATAAAGTTTTAATCTTTTGACTAAAGCATTAATGTTCGGTTATAATCAGAATATCGCATAATTCTATGAAATTCATTGGATTTAATCGGTCCACTGAATATCCATAGAATTGATTCATATTGACTGGTTCACTTCTTTCATTGCGTAGTCAAGCGATATTTGCGTATGAGTTAATTTTTTTGCTATCATGATTCATCGACAAAAATTATAAGACAAAGTTTATAGTATAATTATGACATAACATTTTCCTTTATCG